GCCCTTGTACCTTCAAAATCCTGATGTGCATATCCCCTCCCATATTCATCCTTCTTCATGAAATATCAGCGCTGAAGGTTCATGATCATGTGGTGCGGACGCCACGCCACCCTGTTGGCTACTCTCGCCTTCCTCTTCCACATCGGGAAACTCAGAGGGTGCGCTCGCTTCCGCTAGGAGTCTTTGACGTTCCAGTTCTTGTTTATCATCTGTGACGTTCGAGGCGTGTGGGGTAAGGTCTGAGAGGCTGGGAGCTGAGGGGCCCATGCTTGGAATTTCGGTCAACTGCGAATCTGACCTGTCAACTGAGTGAGGTGCAAGAGGTCTGGAACTGCTTCGTGTTAGACCATCGGCTGTGTAGAGATCTTCTTCATTTTGATTAGGAGGTGCAGATGGCCCGACATTGCCCCCTGCTGCAGCCGGCGATGACGATGATGATGCTTCAGGAGGTTGACTAGGGAGCAGTCTCTGTTCTGCCCTCCTGAGTTGATCTTTTTCATTAAGTTCTGCTTGTCCGGCGTCTTCCGGTGGTGGTACATATATTTGAGCATGTGAAGGCGGTGGGTATCTAGAATTTTGACCGGGATGCTGTTCATAATGTTGATTAAATTCATATGGATACGGTTCTTCGTAACTTGGATCGTAATATTGATAAGGATGATTCGGATAGTTTGCATTTTCCTGGTGTATATACTCGTGGTCGAAGGGCTCCTCCTTTATCGGGTTATGCGCCAGCGATGGTGTGACTGGCCTTGAATTCGAAGGTTCAGCTGGTTGTTTGCCCGTATGCCTTGCTTTGTTTCGAGCGCTATCCGTAGTTCCAACAATCACTTCGAAAACACATGCAACCACGCTTTTCTCTCGCCTTATGTGATCCGTGTCAACAATGCTACCCCCAAAGGCAGCCAGCATGCTAGCATTTCCTTCTGATCTATTTCCTGTGCTTCCATAGGTGGAAGGAAGACTAACAGTTCCAATCCGTGGTACATGTCGTTGTTGGCCGGCTAACTTCCCGCCTAGATCTACTACAACTTCAACTTGGTATTTAAAATTCACCATCTGGCCAGGCACACTACTTATAGTTGGAAAGCAGTCTTCGGGAACTCTGACGGATGCTGTAACATGGGCACTCAGAGTTGTAGGGTCAACGATGAGTGGGGCAAATGTCTGTGAAAGGTCCTTCCGGAAGACGCTGGTTGATCCAGCGGAACTTAGTGACAGGCCACCCAATCCGGTCTTAGATTTAGGATAGTATTCTTCATGCTTTAGTCTATCGGCTTCCTTCCCTTTAATATCTTTAAACAGTGACAAAGGGGGCGCAGAATCTATTCGGCCTTGTCTGTAGAACGTAATTATAATTCCATGCATACTTTTGATGGCTTTGGTGTGCTGTACGCTGATTTTCAGGGGTAGATAATCTCCCGGTAAACATCCAGACTTGAGCAATTCTATTGTGGCCGTGATAGTTTTGTCTTCCATGGAATTACTGCTGTTCCCTTGGCTATCTCGAGCAGACCGTGCTGATGATGTAGCATGTCCCAGCCGAAAGCTGAGGCCGGTACTACTACTGATCGTACTATCCGTACTGAAGGTACTTTGAACGTCGCTTTGCACCGGGCTTCGAGGTTGTATTTGGCTATCAGATATTCCTACTTGACTCACAGATTCATCGGGCCGTGGTGATGTGGCTTCGGTCATATCACTAATAGATTTAGTGTCCGTATGTTCCCGGGATGAAGTATCTTTGGGCTTAATGGACCTCTTGTCTCTTTGCTCGTTTCGATATCGGTTCCA